CCCCAAAACCCCAAAACCCCTTTTGACCGAATATGTATAATAAATTTTTATCTGATAATCAAAAGCATATTTATTTATAGCAATTATTATAATCAATTTGCTTATTTTCTACCTTATAAATCAGTGGTTATTCTTGTAAATCTCAATCAAATTAAATTCTCCATCTTCGTTTAAGTGAATCTCTTCAGCCCCGTCTGAATAAACACTGCTTAACTCAATATACGACTCTTCCTTCCTCGCAGATTTTATGTTTCTACTTTCTGATATGTAAGCAGGCAAGCCTTATCTTGATTTCACCAAGCTATCAGTAAACAGTCCATTATTTATAAAGAATTTCATGTTTTATTTTTCTTTCCTAAGCAACTCTTGATCCCTATCCTGCATTGCTTGTTTCTTTGTTTTATTTGGATCCAAACCCCTATCATTAAAATGTTCAACACTCTTATTTAACTTTTATTCTTGTTTTCTAGACACTAGTGGCTAATTTGGATTCTATCTATAACTTCTGTTTAAAATTTCATCATCGCCCTTTTCATCTTCTAATGATCTATCTTTCAACACTTAAATGTTATTCTATCTTTTCCTGATGTTCATAATATCTTTGTTTCCTTTAATATCGAACTTGTTTTATTTCTAAGGTGTCTTTGTAATCTCTTAATTGGTATTTGAGACATCTTTGATTTCACTTATATTTAAGTCGCTCATTGGTGCTGCTGATATACTATTTTGATGCTTTATCTGAGCACCAGCAATTGAATATCTCTTTTAAGGTGGCTAATTTACCATTGAAACAGATACATCTACAGAGTTCTCATACTTCTCAGATATTCTACTTAGCTCTTCATCACCCTGCCCCTCTTTTTTATCATTTTCAAGATTGTAATCTTTAGCTCTTTGTTTCTAAGGCTTGATCAATTAAGGAGAGGTTTTCTTCTATTTCAAATCTTTCTTGATCTTTTTAATGTTTTCCATTTAATCTTTTTACCATTTGACCAGGTCTTCCTCACTAGTCAAGACATTAACATTATCGCCCATCTTACCATCCATCTCCATTGATCTTCTCATTGACTTTTTAAAGTCAGGAAAAGAGCTGAGTACTCCTATTTCTGATTAGTTATCACCAACTTCTGTCTCAGCTCCACCGTCTTGCTGATTTTGAAACGAATTTATATTACTGTCCTTATTTTTGTTAAACTTATCACTTTAAACGAATTCCCTAATATCTTTATTGCTATCATTACTTCTTTGAAGTTCATGACTAGAGGATAGAGCTTAATCAGGATTTTTCATATTGATATCTTTAGTGAGAATATCCATGCCACCACCTTAAGTCTCATTATCTCTCAAAGTTTCTTAATCATGGAGCAAAGGTATGTTTCTAGCTGTACTTTATTCATGTGGCTCACAATTCATCATTGAAGGATTTTCTTTCCTAAAGCTATCTCTTTCGTCTCTGTTAACAACATGATAGAGAATATTGGCAAAAGCTATCAGACTTAGCACAATGAATTATCCAGAAAAAGCAAACTAAACTATCTTCATCACTTAAAGCATTTTGCTTCCATCATAATCTCTCTTATATCCATCTAATTAAAAAGACTCACTGAACAAAACTTTCCTTTCTTTAAAAAAAGGATACTTTATGAGAATGTTTAATTTGAATTTTAGCTTTAAGATTCCTGACTCCCCGCCCAAATAATCTAAGTCTCTAAAAACAAACATTAAATTGGTAGATTTCTTGTCCCAAGGAGTAGAGAATACTGAGGGATTCAAATCAAATTCAAGTGTATTTTCGCTAGTTTGGTTGAATTAAAATTCATTCATGATTCCATAAGGTCTTCCAAAAGCTATATAATAACTATCATATTGATCTAGTATAGTTGCATTTATAATTTTCTCAGGATAAAATACATCTTTTTAACTAGCTAATCCATCTTTCTCAAATATTAGTTAAAGTGTTATATTTCCTTATATGTTGTTAAATTAAAAAGAACCACTATTTTTTATTCCAACAGTAAGCTGCCATAATATGCTACCATCAACATAGCCTATCAAGTCACCTGTCCCATTTTAACTTCTATATTTTCCACTGCAATATCCTATAATGTCAATATCAGTATTTAGACTGCACTCAGATAATAAAAGCTTAGCAATGAATATGTAAGGACCTTATCTTCTCAAAATATCAAGAGTATTATCATAGAAAGCTTATAGCATTTTAATATTCATGTTTTAGAGAGTTATATCTTTACTGAAATTAGGCAGATATAGTCCTTTCTGATTATTGATAAAATATGAGTAAGTCTCTATAGAATTTGTTTCTTAGAGCCAATCTGTTGGATCTCCATAATTAGGAACTCCAAAAATAGCTTTGTAGTTGCCAAAATAAAATGGAGATTAGAAATAGGTAGCACTATCTGATAGCAAAGAGAAATACTTGGGGTAATTAGTTACCTCCTTATTTGGGTCATATGAAAAAGGCTTCATTAATACGTTACTGAACTAAATAGTCTTTGAGTGCATATTATCTACAAGGAGAACAAAAGGAATGCTGGAGTTTCTAAAAGTTGTCGAAGTAGACCTGATTAAATTAGCCATTTACTATACCTCAGCTGACTGCTCTGAATTTGAACCTTTATATGTACCTTCACATTTATAGATGCTGTTGCCACTTTTGAAATTGTTATTATAATTATTCCTAAGGTTTATTCCTCTCTAATACATTTCATTACAATTATCAGAGGCATCTGCTACCTGCTGCATATTTTTAAGATAATAAGATATGAAGGTTTAATCAGTTATGGCACCGCCATCAGCAACTAGACTTCTCAGATATTCATATGTGTCTGGGTTTAGATAAGGGATTATAATTAGCTTGTACATTTTAAGAAAATTGAGTAAAGGTGCATTAAGTCCATCTCCGTTACTCTTAAAGGGATTCAGTATTTCATACAGCAGCTTGTTCACAAAGTAAAAAATGTAATTGAGAGAAGTGAGGGAGTTTCCAAGGTGCTAATTTACAATAAAAATGTTAGGTCTCTATGAGAATGAAAGAGGAGTATCATTTTGAAAACCATAGTTATCAGATAAACCCTTCAGGACACTATTATTGCCAATAAATTCTACAATCAAATTCATTAAATGACAACTAATAATTACCATAAGTAAGAGTTAAATAATTTAAATCTCTATTTTAAGAAGATGAGCCAAATTTCGTAAAGTTTCTAACAATAAATGGATATGTAGTATGAAGTTCCGAATACCATTACTTGTATTAATCGATTGAGTAAAAAGCATTCTAAATAATAAAATCTTATTGAAAACATAAATACATACCTTATTAAAGATTTTTGTAATTATTTCTTCAAAGGATGAGTAATCAGCTTTATGCAAGTCAGAGGGATTGAAGCCAAAAGTATTATTCAACTATTGAAATAAAAATTTACATTCCTTAATTACATACTTGGGATTTGCATAAATCAAAAACAAATATTATAATGAGCAATACGGAAAGTCTATTTAAAGTCATTTTGAAATTTTAAAATTTATTTTAATTCTAAATTTTATTGTTCTAACCTATTTTGATGATTTAATAAATATTTACTATAGGGGTTTTGGGGTTTTGGGGTTTTTGGGGTCAAATGAGAATCACCTCAAGTT